AGATTAGTGATGAAAAAGTGGATTTAATATAACCTTGTAATGCTTGCATTAATCAAGGCTTAAAAAGAATTAAAATTTTCGTTGAAAAACGAAAAAGCCCAGAAAAAATTGGGTTTCTGGTTCGAATTTGGCTTCTGGATTATCCTAAAAGGGTTGAAACAGTTCCAGAATGTTGATTCCACCCAAAAATCACTATTTGTTTGAGCCAAAATCTGGGTTCGACAGCCAAATCGAAAATAAAATCGAGTTTTAAAAGATAATTAAAACGAGCATCTAATCTAATTAGATGAACATGAACCAGAAAATTAAATTCTTTAAAACACCTTAATTAAACAATAATTGCAAAAATTAAAAGGAGCGTGGCTCCGATACCGCTGTAGGGTTTCGTAGTGACCCGACACTACGCGGAAGGAAACCCACCAAGACCCGCCCCTTAATTAAAGCAATTAAACAAGCATAATAAACTTAATCAAACAAGATTAAGAACAAGAATTATACCTTTGACGCGTGCTTCGCTCCTATAGAGCTCTTACTTTAAAATCCCGAAAAGACGAGATCTCCAACGGATCGTACCCTCGACCCAACCCGAGTGTCCTAAGTCTTGAAGGTTAGTCAAGACCCGGACAAAATTAACTATGAGTTTTACGAATCAAAGGTTTACTCTTTTCTAGAGTTGCCTTTTTAATTCCACTCAAGGTTGTATCAAATCCCAATACCAAGCTTGGTATTTATAGGGAAATGATCCCTTGACTCTCATTCCCCAACCAATGTGGGTGAATGTTTTATTTTCCAATTAATTTATTTCTAAAATAAATCAATAAACAAATGCAATCACAATTCGACAAGTGTCAAAAGGAGAGAGAGTGTTAGGTGAGGACCACGGAGAGGTGGGGGGACCAATACCTTGATCCCTAAGGCTTTCCCAAAGCCTGGTCCCCACATCCCTCATAAACCATCTCACCCTTGGCTGCTGCCCAGCTGCCAGCTAGCCCAGCATGCTAGCACAAGCCCAGCAGCATCGCTGATGCTTGCTGGTGCGTGCTGGCGCTGGTACTGGCTGGTGCGTGCTGGCGCTGGTGCCAGCATCCCACGCATCGTCGCTGCTCGCATGGCCCAACATGCGTGCTGCTACCGAGCCACGCATGCTGGCCTCTCGCCACGCACCGCACTCTCACACCATGCGCACCACGCATCTCTCTCTCGCACACAATGCCTAGCATGCGTGCTGCTAGCAAGCCACGCATGCTTGGCTTGACGTTGCTTGCTAGCCTGCCAGCCCCTCGTACACACTCTCGCACAGCCACTCGCATTAGCCCCGGCATTGTGCACCATGTACGCACATGCCTCGCCCAGGCACCACGCACCACGCATGCGCCAGTGCCTAGCACTAGCTTTGCTTGGTGCGTGAGGTCCTGCCATACGCCCAGCACTATGCTAGGGCTTCTATGGCACCAGGCCATCCTAGGGCACGCATGGTGCGCCTAGTGATGCTGCCTGGGCTGCGATGGTGCCCAGCCATCCTAGGCCACGCATGGTGCGCCTAGTGATGCGCATAGGCCTGCGATGGGCTGCTGGCTTGCGATGGTGCCCAGCATCATGCTAGGGATGCGATAGCGCCTAGGCATGATGCTAGGGTTGTGTGGGCGCACCTGGTGCTAGCGATAGCCAGCCATGGTGCCTAGCCATCACGCTAGGGCTGCGATAGCGCCTAGGCATGATGCTAGGGCTGTTATGGCGCGCCTAGCGCCTATGATGAGCTAGCTTAGCCTAGCTACGGCTACGCTCATACTTGTCGATTGTGATAATGTGACGCTCGGTCTCGACGCCCTAGGCTCGATTTCCGACGTCTGTATTCGTAAAACTCTGTCGACTCATTGAATCCTTTTGGATTAATTCGTCGTCTCGGATCGGAGATTCGATTGGGTTCGACCCGAAGGGTTCGATTAAGATTAAGCTGTAATATCAATTGTACCTTGATATTACTGATCGGAAGCGGCCTCCACCTAGGCATTCCGATCACTTGACCTTACTGAAGAATTAGCTCTGTAATAATTCTGAACCCTTTATCGGAAGAATACACTTGTTGGAAGGACACCATTCCTTTCATAGCTTTTCATCTTTGAGCGGACTGACAAGCCGAGGGAGAGTATGCAAATGATTCTTTAACTGAATAAAGGCTTCCTAGCCTCATCGGTCCACTCGAACATAGATTTTTTCATAATTGTTTGGAAAAAAATAACGACACTTATCCCCTGATCTTGACAAAAATCATCCGAGTGCGGCTAAGCAGTCGGTTAATCTCTGGACTTCTTTTGTGATTCTGGGCGATTTCATGTCTAAGAGCGCTTAGATCTTCTTAGGGTTAGCTTCAATGTCGCGTTAATCGATCAAAAATCCGAGAAATTTGCCGGACTCAACACCAATGACACACTTCTTTGGATTTAACATCATCTTATGCCGCCTGAGTTTGGTAAATGTTTCTCAGAGATCGCTTAGGTGATCGACCGACTTCTTTGATTTAACAACCATGTCATCATTATAAGCTTCCATGTTTCGGCCGATCTGATCTCTAAAGATTGTATTCACAAGTCGCTGAAACATGGCAGGGGCATTCTTCAGGTCGAACGGCATGACTTTGTAACTGTACAACCCCTGCTCGGTCACAAATGTTGTTTCCTCTTTATCGTCTTCCCACAAAGGGATTTGGTGAAATCCGGAATAAGCGTCGTCCATGAAACTCATCAAGGCATGCCAGAACATTGAATCAACCAAGCAGTCAATTTTAGGTAGGGGAAAGCTATCTTTGGGACATGCCTTGTTGAGGTCAGTGTAGTCAACACACATCCGCCAAGTTCCATTCGGCTTGTTGACCAAAACAACATTAGTCACCCAATCAGGGTAATAATATTGCCAAATAAAACATGAGTCCAGCAACTTCTTTACTTTAGCCGCGGCCGCCTGATTCCTTTCTTCACCCTGGTTTCTCTTTATCTACCAAATAGGCCTTACAGTTGGATTAACCGCCATCTTGTGAACCGCCAACTTCTACACCGCCAAGTCTGGGCTTTTACCCGACATGTCATGAACTTAGAACACAAACACATCTCTAAATTCTCTTAACACATTTACTAAGTCATCTCCAAGCAAATCTATGGCCATATCGCCAACCTTGACCGTTCGATTAGGCTGGTCCGGGTCTAACACTATGTTCGTATGATCACCGGCCGATTGCGGCCTTAACTCTTCTAGTCGGCCGACGGTCATTAGCTGTTATGCCAGCTCTTTCTTGATTGACTTGCGCTTTTTGCCGACCTGCTGTGCTTGGAGTAACCCTCCTTCGGAGTTTTTCTCGGACGCCTTGCTATGTCCGAGTGAGGTAGGCTTCACGGCCAGCTGAATACATTCTTTTGCCATTACTTGGTTTCCCTGAATGAGCCTATTTTCCCGTCCGACCACTCAAACTTCATCAACATTAAGTAAAGGACAATTACTGCATTTGCCGAGTTCAGGGTCGGGCGGTCGATGATAACATTATAGCCTGTGAGCACTTTGACTACCATGAAGCGGACGACCATGTCCCTTCCCTCTCTCTTTTGCCCAAAACGGACGGGCAAGTTTATCTGTCTAACGGGATGGATAATGCCTCCCGCTAAACCCAACCAACGGGTGAGAAATATCCTTCAAAGCATTTTCTGGAAACTTCAAATTTTTCAAACAAGCTAGGCTGATTATGTCGGACGATCTGCCGATATCCATCAGCACTCGTCCAACCTTCAGGTTGGCAACCTTAAGGATGAACACCATGGGATCATTGTGGGGGGCTTTGACTTTGCCTCTGTCCGCCTCGCAGAGAGTCACCTCTGGGAAAGGCTCCAGTTTTACCTCTTCCGTCTGCATCACCTTCCCCAATTGCCTAGCATCCTGCTTAATTCCTTTCATGGTCGGGCCGCCTGCAGCAAAGCCACCTAAAATTACGGCCACAAACCTTGAGTGTGTGTTATTCCCATCTTCATCATCTTTTTTCTTCTTCTTCTTTTTCTCGGATTTGTTATCTGTCCGAGAGTAAGTGAACTTAGACTTTAGTACATACAAGTTGATAATGCCCTTCTCGGCCAGTTTGTCCAACAACCTCTTCAGGTTATTGCATGCGTTCGTATCATGCCCCACATCGTTGTGGTAATGGAAATACTTGTTCTTGTTTTTGTAATGGGTCGGCCCCCTCAAAGGCTGGGGCTTCTCGAACTCGAACTTGTCTTTAATTTCCATCAAAATTGAGTAACAATCCTTGTTGTATTCATACTGTGAATTATAAATCTTGGCTCTCTTGGACTTGGTCTGTTAGCAGTCGCCCACCTAGACTTCATTCTTTTCTTTTGTTGTTTCCTTCCTTCTTTTTGCCAGCCGAGTCTTGTTGAGAAGAAGGTTTCTTCTCGGCGCCCTTGGCCGGCTCCTCTGCTTTTGTAAGAGAACATAAATTAGTTGCCTCTACATATGATTCAACCTCCCATAGAACACCTGCGTATGTCCGAATCTTTTTTCTGATCAAGTCAAACTTGAAACCATTGTGCCTTAAACCTCGAAGAGCCACTGAGTAGGCTATCTGGCAGGTTCTGAATTTGTGCTTTCTCCATGTTAAACCTTTGAACATATGAACGCAACCCTTCTTTCTTCCCTTGAAAGATGGTTGCCAAGTTAAGACTAGTCTTACGGGGCGGTATATTGTACGAGAAGTTTCCAACGAACAACAGACTAAAAGTTGTAAAATAATTGATGCATCCGGCCGACAAACTATTTTACCAGTCTTGAGCCACACCCTTGAAAATGGCCGGAAAGCATTTCCACTAAGTTGATTCATCCACATTTATCAAGTACATCAGATTCATCCACATTTATTTTCAGTACTATTGGCACCGGTTTAAAGCAAGAACCGGTGCAAAAAACCCCACTTTAGGCACCGGTTCTGGTCCAAACCGGTGCCAAAAATACCCCAAAAAAATAAAAAAATAAATTTTTTTTTTTTGCATTTTTTTCACTTAAATTGATATAGAAACGTTAACATATATATTAAGTTACATTATTTCATTAAAAAAGGCTGTAATATTACAATTTTCGTCCAAAAAAATTAAATAATCCAGACTGCTCTGTTGTTTCTGTTCTGCTGCGCTGCTGTGCCTCTACCTGTTCATGCTGGCTGGGCATCTGTTTGCTTTTGTGTCTGTGTCTCTGTTATGTTCAGGCTGGCTAGGTGACTGGTTTGAGTTCTTGAGCTGTTGTGTTTCTGTTCTGCTCTGGTTAGGCTGTGCTAGGCGTTTGCTGTTCTGCTGTAGTGCTGTGTTGCTTGCTGGTCAGGCTGCTGTTTTTGCTGGGTTCTGCTGTGTGGTCCTCTGTGTTGCGGTATTGGTGAGCTGTTGTGGTGTTGTGCTGGTGGCGCTCTGATGTGCTCTTATTTGTTGGGCTGTCTTGCTCGTTATTGCTCTGATGTCCTAATGCAGTGAAGAAATAAACAATATAGGCAAGCTGATTCTTGTCACAAAGAATATCAACAACTTAAAATATCATGAGAATATAAGATATTTTAACAAAATAAAAAGAGTATACCTTCAGCAATATCATGAACTACTGCCATCTTGATACATCTGTGCAAAGCATTGTCAAAAGAAGATAATACAGCTCATTAACAAGGGAAATATCAATATGTCCAAAACAAGCATAATTGGTTAACATCCAACCTCTCCCTATTCACACCCGGAATGTCCCCATGCAGCAATCAAACCCATCAACGCCATTCGATACATATGATCAGCAATAGATTCAGGGCCCTTTATCCGATGATTAATACATCCCTGCTCCACCTGCCCCGGCCCCCTGCTGCACCTCCCCCCTCCCTGCTGCAACTACCCCCTTGTTTTATTGATAATAGAAGTGTACTCGTAATTCCCCAATATCATACTTGTATCTAAACACGACACAACAACCAAAGCTTTGAGCCACAGGGTCAAGTTGTTCACATAATTTCTATAATCAGAAACATTTAAGATTCCAGAATTAGGATAACAATTAAGCACTATAATATAGTACTAACAAGAAGATGCAGTAGAGCTTTCTAGGACAAATCCATAATTGCTTAACTGATTACAAAACCCATGATAATCCCTAAATTTTTCGGCAGAGCAATTCTGTAAAAAAAGATTGTCCAACCAAGTAAACTATAGCCAATTCATCTTCAAAATTTGTTGCTCTTCCTTTGCTGTGCTTAAGCACTCAACAGTTTTGCTAAAGGCAAAATGTACAAAAAAAAATAAAATAAAATAAAATAAAATGAAATAAAAAATATGAACGGGAGCACATAAGGTTAAAATTTTTTGCAAGTGATGCGGCTAGCACTAGAATGGCAAGTGTTATGGAATACTGGTATTTGTCCCGAGGGAGTTATATATAATACTGTAGACAGTTCTTCAAGAATGTATGCTAGATTTGTCAAAAAACAATAACAAAAAAAAGCATTTATTAGTTATTTAGTATAGTTGGTTGTTTGATTGGATTTTGATATAAAATGTAGAAGGAAGCAAGAGCAGTAGGGCTGCTGAGAAGTGAGAAAATGGAAAATTTAGTTGGGTGTTGTTGTGAGGGTGATGAGAGATTGCTAGTTGATGAGTCACACTTTCTAAGCATCTATTGCTTCCTTACCCTCACCTTGCTTCCACCCAGGTAAATTATACTTATTCATCATAAAGTTACTTATTTTACAGATGAAGTTCATGATACTTGTTGCTAATTAATTATACTAACAATAGTAGTAGCAATTTAATCCTTTTTTTTATCCCTTGTAATATAATTGTGTATATATGGTAATTATACTAAGAGAAGTGTTTATGTATGTAATACAGGTGACAAAAAATAGCAAATTATTTGTAGAGAATGCGACAGATAGGCTAAAGCTGTTTGTCAAGGCATTTTGTGCTAAAGATGATGTATCTTCTCAAGCATTAATCTCTCAAACAAGGTGTTTAGCTGGTAAAGCCAAGAAATTTATCCAGTGCATTAAATTAAAAAAAAAAAAAAAAAAAAAAAAAACAAATGTCTCAGGAGAGGAATTAAAATTAGGCTCACCTCAGTTTCTTTCTGAAGTGGAGTAAGAGCTATCACAAGAGATCTGGCATTAGGCCTTTCACGAGCTTCATACTGCAAGCAATGTGATGCTAATCGTACTAATTCAGTTCCATCATCATTTGAAAAATGGCCCTCTAAATTAGAGTCGATCAACATCGAAAAGTTTTTTCCACGTATAAGATCAAGTGCCTGGGAAAATCAAGAGAATTCTGAGTTAAAATCTTTTGTATTGTGTTCCCAAAACATCTGATAACTCTTAGATTGGTGTGCCAAGACCTAAGGCAATTAGAGAGCCAAAGTGAGCTAAAGAGTTTATATAAGATATATACTTTTTGGAACAAAGGGATAATTGGAAGGGTGGAGAGCGTGATACGATACTTAACATGTTTCGTAGTTTGACAAAACTTAATATCCAAATCCAATTTCTAAAGTATTGCAAACTTTAAATCATTCATGGGAATGTAAAAAGCTAAGCCAGCTCCAATAAGAGGACTTACAATTTAGCCCTATAATTCTTTCATGAAAGAATTTTGATGTGTCTAATAAAAACCAAATCTCAAGGATATTTGGATTCTAATATATGAGTTCTCAAGGATTCTTAGATTCTTGTTTCTTTCTAGTTCAAGTGGAGTTACTAAAGTAGCACACTGAATATAGAGGTTAATGAAGCATTAAGAGGGTAAAACATGACATGACACATTGAAAGTTGTATGAAAATTTGAAGTTTACATGGCTTGGCGGTATATGTTTCCCACTGAGCAGGTCAAGCAGTAAGGTGCCAAAACTGTAGATCACGCTCTCTGAAGAAATTCGACCTGCCAATTAGAAAGTAGGGCATTAGCTTCCTAGAGAAAGCATGCTTTCAGAAATTAGCAGCTCCATTGCAACAGCTTTATAACGTTCTCTGCACACATAACTAGAGAGAGACCTTCATCATTGAATATGCAATCAACAAGGAGATCAGGACAAGTCAATATTGTCATGTATACCATTCAGCATAGTCTATATTTACGGCAAAATGAATCATTTAGGAAGGGCCAGGTACCTGTCCTCATGTACTCAGGAGGAGTGAAAGCCAAATTTGTACTATAGCTTTTGCCATCTCGGCTGTTTTACCATCCTGTCAAAAGCTGAGTCACGACATAGAGTATATGGAGAAAAGGATAGAGACAAGAGAAAATATACAAGTTCAATTGTACCTGGTCAAATAGAACTCTATAAGCATTAAGGTTGGGGTACAATGATCTTCCTTTACTGCTACAATATTCCAAGGCTTGTGCTAAACACAATGCCACTCTCAACCTCATAGCCCATTTCAAAGGCTGATTTTCCCCTGAAGTAAATAAACAATTTGGAACTTAAACCAAAATACAATAGCACCATCAACACAACAACTTCACCCATGAATCAAAGTCAACTACATGGAAACTCTATCTACAAACGAGCATTCCTAACCATTTAAGTCTCATAATGAACGTTGTAAAACTGGTGTGCACAAACGTACCAAAACCAATCTTAATCAATTAAAAAAACCTTAAAAAAATATTTGATTATATTGACATTGCCCAAAGTTCTCCTTTTCTGTTTGAGAGTCCTAAGAAGATTACACCAATGATGTGGTGCAATTATTAAGAATACACTGGTTGTACATTGACTGTTGCTAACTCGACACAAACAATTTAGATCGAACTCGTTTCCCCTTGTCGAAAACATTATACTTTCTCGAAAATTAATAATAGGCATAAACTCTAGCATCTTCAAGCAACGTACCATGGTAATCATACCTCATTGATTATTACATATCGAAAACACAAAAGCAATGCCTAATTCAACACGACACATACAAAGTCCCTTTGATAGAAAAATAACAAATGCATAGTCAAGGTCACAACATTTCAATCTTAAACAAGAAAGTTATGAATTTAGATGATACTCACAGTGAAAGAGATGCTTAGAAAGTGTTTCATTGGGCATGAACTCAGCAACTAGCAATCTCTCATCACCCTCACAACAACACCCAACTAAATTTGCCATTTTCTCACTTCTCAGCAGCCCTACTGCTCTTGCTTCCTCCTACATTTTATATCAAAATCCAATCAAACAACCAACTATAAGATCATTTTGTACCATTTTTGCTACTAATAACTAACACATATATAAAACTATAAGAGCATTGGAAAAAATAGCCACTAACCTTTGAATTTGAACTCTTTTTTGTGGAGCAAACAAACTAGATCTACAATTCCTACAAATGATCGAATAAAAAATATTAAAATTAAAAAACTTAGGGTTTATGGTTAATTAATTGAAACTAGATTAAAAAAAATAGAAATAAAACCAGAACCCTAAAATTATGAAATTGAAAACCAAATCAACGACAAACCCTAGATTGCGAAGGAATTTAGTAGATTAAGAAGACCACATTACCTCGAAGCTGCTTCAATGGAGGTGAGAAATAAAACCAGAACACTAAAACCAGAACCCTAAAATTACGAAATTGAAAACCAAATCAACGACAAACCCAAGATTGCAAAGGGATTCAGTAGATTAAGAAGACCACATTACCTCGAAGCTGCTTCAATGGAGGTGAGAAAGCTCAGAATCGGCTTCAATGGAGAATATAGAGCACGAGTTCAATGGAGGCCAGAGATATGGAGAGAGAAGGAGGTGCTGCTTCAATGGAGTGAGAAAGCTCGTAAACAACTTCAATGGAGAAGGTGAAAATTCGGGATGGTGGAAGAGAAGGTAAAAACTAGAGGGAAAACAGAAGATGGAAAAAACAGGGGGAAAGAAAGAAAGAAAAGCAGGAGCCTGGATTTTTTTTTAATATTTTTTTAATAAGTGGGCACCGGTTTGAAGCGGTTCTAATTAAATAATTGGCACCGGTTTTGGTTGGAACCGGTGCCAACACTGATTTTTTCAATCCCGCCCATTTCTTTTGGCACCGGTTTTCAAGAACCGGTGCTAAAAGGGGGGTGCCTATTTCATTTTTTCTACTAGTGATATCCTTCCTAACCAGGACCGGGTGTCTGCCTGTCTTTAGCCATTTCAGACGTGTATCCCCACATACGGCGCCAAATGTTTTGGTGTTTTTTTGGATTCCCTCGGGATGCAGGTCGTGAATATAGCCGGACAGCCGCAAACACCTGCAAAACAACGAATATACCGTTTGACGGAAGATTTGCCTCCGACGATCAAGTTAATGATCAATAAGCGAAAGAATTTAGAGAGAGAAGTTAGAGCAATTTAATAAGCCTTGAATGAGATGTCTCTATCTACCCTTCCCGTCATAAATGATTGGGGTATTTATAGGGGTGGGAATATGCGCATTCTAAGGTTGGTGCCCTAAAAAGGGGAGATCTGATTGGAGCCAATCAGGTAGGGACACGTGTCCTTTGGGGGCGTTCTTATGGCGCCTTTCTCAGGATTTAGGCCTCATAATGTAAGGAGGCCTTCTATCTTTCAGATGCCCTTATGTTTGCCACGTGTCTTCTTCCTACTGGGACACGTGTTGCCTTTTTTATTAAGCCACGTGTCACTATAGGATTAGACCACATGTAAGGGTAATTTTTACCCTAAACAGTGTTGACCAGATGCCTTTAACAGAGTTAATTACTAAGAGATTAGCACATTCAAATAGAATGTTTTTATCCCATTATCCCATCCTCTATTATAGTGATGATATATTCAAACCCTAAGTAAGAAAATGAAATTTCAAAAATATAAAATAATCAACAATCAAAATTATAAATCCATAAATCAAAAAATGATTTCATCAACCACATAAAACATATCATCTATTACAACAACAACATTTATAAAACCCTAAGTAAGGTAATGAAATTTCAATAATATAAAATACCCAACAATCAAATTTAGATAAACCTAAGTCAGATGAACATAAAATATATTCTGAATTAGATTATAAACATACTGAAAAACCTAAGTAAAAAAAAATTCAAAAACATGATGAGTCAAATGTATACCTAGATGCGAAATTGGATATAGGTGTAGAAGTTTCGAGTTGATCGTCGAAATTTTCAGCATTCTTAGCCGGTGATCGATTAGCATTCTTCGACCTCATTATTTTGGATTAACGATGATATTACACCGTAAATTCTTTCTTATAATGGAAAAAATGAACTAGAAGAATAAAAGGAAGAAATGTAGTCGAAAATGGAGAAAGATTTAGCAAAACGAAGGTGTTGATTAAAAAATAATCGAGAAAAATGAATTGAAATTGGAGAAAATATGAGAAAGTGAAAATGACGTTTTTTTGGAAGAAGATTAAAATACGGGCTATGTGGAAGAAGAAAGAGTGGAATGGGCTATATGGAATAAGAAAAATAGCAGTTACAAAATGAGTAAGTGGGCTAGGCCGCTGAAACCCACGCGTCTCACGAAGCGTTGGGTGAGGTTTGCCTTACCCAATAGTTTGTGAAACTTTATATAAGACGTGGACAAATTCATGTATGTAGGAGGATATGATGAGGTTAGTTAACCCCACTTGAAAGTCAAGAAATCCCATTGAAAGCTTGCAAAAATATGGAAAATAAATTGGGCATATTACTTTGTAGTTTGAACCCACTAAGTAATACGGAGTACGAAGTATGAAGTAAAGCTGTTAAAAAAAACTATTATCTTGTTTTCCTATTTTTGCTGGCACATGGTGACTTTGACATGACACATGATAGTTATAATGCTTTGCCACTTTTAGACCCGACTACAACTTATGAAGTTTTTTTTACTTATTTTCAAAAGCCTGACCATTTGTCATATGAAAAGTTTATAAGGACAATTGCATATGACACTACTTTAGTCGTTCAAGGTACATACCCGTGTTGTATGAGCATCCTACTGCACATGGTATTTTGTCATTTGATGTGAAATTTTAAATTTCAATGGTATATTTTGTGTACCTTTAGAAACATATATAGTACCATTGAAGTCTTAAGTGATATATTTTGTGTACCATTAGAAACATATACTCCCTCCTTGTTTTAATAAGTGTTACACTTACTAAATGCGGCCGTGTTTTAATAAGTGTTACACTTTTTTTTTTGGCAAAAACTTTTTTGGCAAAAAATTACATTTTAATATTATATCTCTCTCCTCTCATGGTCCCCACCCAAACCCATTACTACTTTTTTTATTATTTCTTTCCTCTCATATTCATTACTTTTCAATTAATTATTAATTTCACTATCTTTCTTTTATAATTTTTTAATACTCTAACTACACGACTTACCTCTTATTTTATTCAAGTCAATTGAATCGCCTAAAAGTATGTGTCGGTCTAAGTGTAACACTTATTGAAACATAAAGGGAGTATAATATCATTAGTGGTATATTTTGAGTATCATTAGTATTATTGAAATTTACCTAGCTAGTCCATAAAACTCTATTTGTACTGCTAGAAAAGTTTTGTGACATATTTATACCAGCAGAATGTATTATAATACCATTATTACACTATCTAATGGAGTTATTTATTCACTTAAAGATAACTTTACTATCTCAAAAAAAAATTCATACTATTTACTAAACTACCATGATATGTACTGGTTTATATCGCACAGGTATGTACCAATAATTAGCACTATTTCTATCGCAAATCCACAATAGATAAGCTCTTTTTAAATTTAAGTATAGTAAGAAATTATAGTGAATGATTAGTACTCCCTCCGTCCCATTATTAAGTGTCCGTTTCTCATATTTCACAGGTTTTTTAAATGAATGAAGTGTAAAATGCATGTGTGAAGTACATTGAGAATAACTATAAAGTGTAATTTTTTGTTCTAATAGAGACAATAATGAAAAAACATGTGTGAAATACATGTGGGTACCAATTTTAAAGGTTATTTAGGGAAGATTAGTATGTTAAAAGGTATAAAGTGGGGGTATGTAGGTAATTATACATGAAACAAAAATAGTCAATTTTAGGCCACCCAATTAGAATAATAGGCATTTAATAATGGGACGGAGGGAATATAAAGTTTAAATATTTAGAGTGTTAATTTTTTTTTTTAGGAAAAATTTAATTCAGATAGTTGAATGTTTGACAATAGAAAAACAGTTAGCCAACCAAAAAGCTAAGAGACATTTAGGGTACATTATTTTTACAGTATTGTCACATATCAAGACATTTGAAATATACGAAATTAAATGCTTTTATCTAAACTTATTAGTAGAGCTTATTTTAATATTGATCTCCTTATGGACTAACTAAACTAATATTTCTCAAACTTACCTTTTTCAAAATAAAATGAACTATTCTTATCCCTTGTTTGAACGAAATTATTTTTCATAAAATAAGTGTATAGAGTGTGAATAGAGCGGAGCCTTAGTGTATTTATGCAGTATATCAATTTTTTTATTAGTTTCTCAAAAAATAAAGTTTTTTTTGGGATGTTCGTTCTTTGAATTGAACCTTTTTAATGAAAATCCTAAATCCGCCATTGATATATAAGGTCTATTATTGCGATTATTACGAAATAGAGGAAGTATATTAGTATAGATATTTCTTTCCTCCTATAGTTCTCATACTTCCCACTCAAACCCATAACAATATTTTAATTATTTCTTTCCCTTTCACATCCCTTACTTTTCAATAAACTAGAGCAGATAACACGCGTGATGCGCGCACCATAGCAAGCCATATTCAAAGAGTTCTTTAGGTTTGGCCGTAAATCATAAATTTGGGTATGACAACATTAATAAGAGAAGATATGTAAACAAATATTTTAAAGGGTCTAAATGTCCACACATTATTCTTGAGAGGTTTTAAAAAAGGTGACTAATGATGTGAATCAAGAGGGAAATTCTTTTGAAGAGCCAATCATATTGGTTTTAAGTCCTATAGGGTTCGAAATTGGAGGGAAGAGTCAAGAATGGTTAACATGCGTAGCCATTGAAGAAGATGCGTAGTTCATTACTTAGTTTTTAGAGTTTTGCTTACAAGTTTTTACCTTTCACTTGAAAGGGTTTTTCTTGTTTTAAGCACATAGGATTTCTATTTCAATTAGGAATTGTTTTCGTTAAGTGAGTTCCTAAGTTGATTAGAACTTTCTTTTGACAAAGTTAGTTCCTATTTGAATTAGGACTTATTTTAGCTTAGTAAGTTCCTAAGTTGATTAGGAATTGTTTTTAGCTTAATAAGTTTTCTAAGTCAATTAGGATTTGTTTTAGGAGTTTTAGGTTAATAAGAACTAGTCTTATTACTAGTTTCCTAGTTTAGGTGGAATCGGTTTTCCTATTCTATCTAGGATACTTGGGGATCAAGGCTAGGGTTTTATCCTAGTTTTATTAGACTTAGAATTCATTAGCTTAGCCTATAAATAATGTAATTTTCGTGATTTTTCAATAACATTTCGAAAATCATTAAAATTCAAGTTTATTGTTTAGCTTAATTGCTTACAATCTCTTTCACTAGTTTTCAATTCAAGGAGTTGTTTTGAATATTAGTTGAGCAACACTTAGTTCTAGGAGTAGTCTAAGTTTTGTTCTTCAAAATACTTAGTTCCAGGATGGTCTAGGTAATTTGAGAGGCGTTGAATTCGTTCCAGGAGTGGTCGTTTTCAAAGTCATATCCGGTTCGTTATTCTTAAGTTGTTTGATTTTCTAAGGAGATTCGAAGGGCTTATTTTACTTGTGTGATTTTACATTCTTTATTAAGTTAAGGGGGATAAATCCACATCAACTAACATTAATGAGGGCAAATAAGTAAATAAACATTTTAAAGGGTATAATTGTCCAACCACTGTTCATTTTCAAAAAAATGTTGTACATATTAATGAGGGTACATATATATGTAAATCGCATTTTGAAGGATATAATTGCACCACAGTATTCATAAGAGTAATCTTGTAATTTTTATAAGGTAGGATAGGGATTATTACCCAATATTTTTTCTTATACTGTAATTTCTTATGCCTCAACTAGAGGTGATCAACTATGGACCAACCCGCCAGCCTGGCCCGAATATAGGTAGATTGGGGCAAGCCTAAATACACATTTTTTAATTGAAAACCCAAACTCGGTTCGAAAAAGTCCAAAAATCCCACTTTGGCCCCATAAGCCCGCTTCTTTTTATAGAGTGCGCATGATATCTAATGTTAAGGCTCGATTAAACTCGAATTTTTGATCACCTCTAAGGCTCTAACCTCAACTCCACCACTTATGCCCTGTTCACTTCACCTTATTATTGCTGAACTGAAATTATTTTTACTGAACTGAAATTATTTTTGCTGAACTGAAATTAATATTACTAAACTTAAATTATTTTTGATGAAGTGAAATTATTTTTGATGAAGTGAAATTATTTTTACTGATTCTCTATTATATTTCTTCTTTAAAGTTACCGATTTTTACTGAACTGAAATTATTTTTAGTGAATTGAAATTATTTCACTAAATACTAAGGGTTCTATTGGTATCGTTGTGGTTTTCTGTTTTTTGGTTTTTTGTTTCTCAAAAGCATATGATATACGTCAATAATGAATCAACAATTAGTCAAATTAATTAAAATCATGATAATTTTGAAAACTTACAACAGAAAAGTGGATACACTTTTTTCTTGTTTCTTGTTTTTGGTTTTTTGGTTTTCAAATAAACAAAAAACATCTATATCTATATAATATACTAAAATAACCACCAGAGTTATCCCTTAAATACACGTGTCGCATTCACAATAAAAAATCTCCCGCCCCAAAACTTTTTATTTTTTTATTTTTTTCCCTTAAAAAATAACATGATAAAAAAATTAATGAATAAAAAATTTCAATTATTTTAAAAATATTTTAAATTACATAGTTAACAAGAGAGTTATAAGGGTAGACATTAAACGAATTCAAATTTCAAAAAAAAAATTATATATTCTGTAAGTCATTTTATTTAAATTAACTTCATTTTAATTGACTTTAATTATTTAAGTCATATTATTATGAATCCGAGCATTGCAGTATTGCATGGGGCAAAACCTAGTAAAATAAAACAATGTCAAATAAGTCCTAAGTATTACTTTTTTAAGATAGGTACTAAAAAAAACGTAAAAAATACTCTCTCAATAGAGAGCGGGCGTATGGCAGCGGCCAGCAGGCTAGTGGGTGGTGTGGTTGGAAAGGAGAAAACCAAGATCAGTTATATTCGATTATTCGTTGCTTAAAATATGCCAACTGCTTTATCCAACATTTTTCATTTTTTAAAAACCGTTAACATCATCAATACAATTGCGCATCACTACTTTCCGTTTGTTTACCCCACTTAGCGTAATCACAAGCAAAGAACAACACTCACTAAAGTAGGATTTTCTTGGTACACTCAAATGGGGTTACTACTCATAAACCAATTTCACAGATGTTTTTTCTTCTACTAATCTTCTTTGATCGATTTTTCCCACAAAATTTGTGCCATTCATGGAGCCTCCAACCGGAATTTGGGCTTCTCTTTTGCAGTTTTTACGCTTTCTCCCTTTTTTTATCGGTCTTCTTCTTCTGGGTACAATCAAAGGTTTGTCACCAATTTTTTTTTTAATAATTTTTGATGGATTTTTAATTAAGTTAATCTTTGTTTGGTTTTGGGTTTGATTTTTTGTTAAATTCACATATATTTTTCAAGAGTTCGGAATAATTTTTTTTGGGTAGTCTTGTTGAATGTTGAAGATTGGTATAGTGTCATTTTATTGTGGTTCGGTTAGGTTGATGAAGTGTTTGAACATTTCAGATAATTAGGTGCCCTGATGATTATTAGAAACATTCATTTTTTTTTTTCTGACGGGATTAGAAACATTCATTTTGTTATGAAATAATTGTGATTAATGTTTCAATGCAAAAGAGCAATTCTTGTTGTATGGCAATGAGATGGTCACATTACGTTTATGGCATGTATTTTATCCCTCTGATTAGAATATCAAATAAAGGAGAGATATGGAAGGATCTCCAACATCTCTAAGATTGGTTATTAGATTTTGGCTTATTAAAAGTTTGATATGTTGTTGGAGATAGTTTGGAGTTGAAGTTGTTCCTTGTATGTACTTGAGTTAACTGGTTATTAGATTCGAATGAGATATTAGTAGTTGTGTGAAGTTTCCAAATCTTTGCTGTTTTGGTATTTACTTAGGTGTGTTGAGTTTACTATTTTTTACTTTATTTAATTACAGAAGTTGAAGCTATCCTAGTTTTTTTTTTGGGATTTATAAGCTGAGGTTTAAGAAACCCTGTCAGATTCCTATTTGATAGGGAAGTTGTGATATGTATAGGAGGATCTATCAAAGACAGTCATCCTGATTTTTCAGAAGTTCTGCAATACTTGATTGTAATAATAAAAAATTGCAAATAGCCAAAGAGATCAATAATGTCTATGCATACTCTTACCAACTAATGACAGTTAGTACTATTATAATTGTCACCAGTCCATTGGTGACAATTGACGTGTATGAGGGTACTTGGAGTGTAATGCGGCGAAAATTGTAGAAATAGATGAGGGTGTATGTACATTTCTCATTTGGTTAATAAACTCATAGCAAATAGAGGCATTTGGTATATAGTATCATTCACCCCAAATACTTGTAGCAGATTTGATACATGTGATGGTGTATTTTTAATAGTAGATTGGGCTTAAATCTCTTTTTTTCCCACTCCTATATGCTAATTAGTGCAGCATATTGAGAATTAGAACTGATTAAATTATAAAATATTGAAAAAAATATTAATATATTAATTTATTATGTACAAGCGGTACAACTAATAACAAAACAAACTTTTGTCTGTGTGTCTACGGGTGCATTTTTATTTTATTTTCTATACGTCATAAATAAACTGCCAATAGAGAACTGATAGTTTACCAAACAATTTTGCAAACTAGTTATCTTTGTGCCTCATTACATTTGTTATCTCTGGCTCTCTGCAATGTGTCTGATTCCATGTCTACCGAACAACTTGCTGTCCACCATTTGCCAAATAGGGCCAATAACAGGGTATATATGACTGTAGATATGGTTTAAAACTGAAATACCTAATTTTTTTCTTCAAATATTAACTATTTGTTTGCCTTTCTGTGTTAAACAGATTGTACTTGTACTTTTGAACCAGTTACTAAATCCAAAATTAAACAGAAAAACTTCTAATATTTCTGCAATGATGCTAATCTAATCTCCTATCTAACTCCTAGATAGGGCCTTAAACTTGGCAAACTCATGATAAGTGTTTATTCTACTATGTTTTTCCTCTGGAAAAATGATACATATCTTCTCACTTCAAACTTGAAACACCTAACAGATTGAAAAAAGACATTCCTCCAAAGCTACATCTTTTACTTATTCTTCCCATATATTTGATTTGATACTGGTCACCCCTATGATTGCCCCTTGTGTCTCTTGAGATGGCTGGTTCAAGTGGCTGAAGGCTTTTAAATTTACTTTTTTATATATAAATAATAAGCTCTTATCCCTCATGCTATAGCAGTGTCAAAAATTTTGTTTTCGTATTTTTAAGATCTACTTATTTTAAAATGAATTTATCTTCTTAGTATAATGTCCTACCAGTAATTATATCGTATCATTTCATTTTAGATTTTATTTTTCTAAAATGCTTTTACCAGTCAACGGTCTTTAGTCCTTACCTATGATCCAATGACCACTGACCACGTGACCAGTAGTTTTGCAACTCTCCTTATTGGTGATGGCTTAGTATTAAAGTGCACCTAGTCGCAAGGCGCAGTCAGGCACGAGAGCTAGAGCCTCAAATGCTGGCTGGTCGCGGCCGTGACAATGCCTGTGACATCACCCATGTTATTCTGCTTCATTTTCTTGCTTTGCTCATTTTGTTCCTTCATTAGTGAATCTGAAATCCACTGCATGTCCTTCAGACTGTACTAAATGTGTTGGACTTGCTATACTTGACATTTAACACTAAATTTTAGCATCTTCCATATGATTTGTTAGCTTACTTGTAAAACTGATGCAACTCTTGAGTTGTGACTGGGAAAACATACAACCAATTTTTAACATTAGTAAAAGATTTTTGTCTATTAAAGAATAATTAATGGAGTCTTAGATGTTTAGCCGCATAAAAGGAACTTCACGTCATATATAAGGTTTTATATTAAGGATCAAGTTCTTAGTCTGCCTAATGTAGCATGCCAGCAAATGAAGGTATCTTTGAATTCTTTATTCTAGATCTTTAAAGCCAATTTATATATATTCTCACTATTTTAAAACAATGAGGTTTTAGTGTTCAGATAGAGCCACTATATTCCATTGGTTCTTACCTCTTAGCTCGCAATTAGACTTCATTAGATGATGGTTGCTTGGAAGTTTAAAATTAACTCCTGAAGTTCCTTGGTTTGTGAGCTAGGGGATAGTAATCAGATATCTTTCTTTCTTTTTAGGTTAATACATGTATCAAATGAGCCATACCTAATTTTATGGATGCATGCATTCAGTTGTAAGGTAGACTTTATCTATCTTGAATTTAAGAAATGTGAATTTCTTATCTCTGAATCTGTGGCTCTATTGTTCCCAAGTTTAAGAACCTTGTTGCTTGATTACCACTGATTTGGTATTCTCAGATGTCTAGTATCTAAGGAGTTAAACATTCTTTTTCATAATTGCAGGTGTAGTCTGTTACAGCTTACTTGCATAAACTTCTGTTTTTGAAGTGTCAATACCCCCCTATCTTCCCCTATAAAAAAAAGAAAAGAAAAGAAAAAACTTAGTGAGCCTTGGTTGTTGTTTCCTTACTTGTAGTAGCCAACTAGCCATACATTATACTGATTTAAATTATACTGACTGAAACATGCTTTCACATCCTATTACAAGTATTCCTACTATAATCTACTGTATACTTATTACTTAATTCTAATTATTATAATAATAGTGCCTAGGAATTAGAAATGAAAATATAAAGTGGAAAAAAGAAATTATCATCAGAATTGATTCAAGTAGAGGTTTCACAAGTTGTCTTGAAAGTAATAGGTAATTTTAGCCTGTGAATACTAATAGTCTAATATTTCTTGCAGGTATATTGTTTTGCCCTTTGATATGTTTGTTAATGACTGTGGGGCACAGCGCACTCATCCTGGGTCTTTGGCCAGCGCACCTTTGTTGGACATATTATTGTGTTGTAAGGTGCTTTGAGATGTTGAATTCAGCTCTCATATAGTGTACGTTTGTGTGGAAGTATACTTTCTGACCATTTTCCCTTCTTTAATGACAGAGCTAAGCAAGTGGGACCTGTGTTGAAGCTTGTGTTGTGCCCTTTGATCTTTGTTGTTTTAATTATCTGGCCTGTGGTTGGCATTGTTTCAAGTATTATAGGAGGTGCAGCATATGGCTTTCTTTCACCAGTATTTGCGACGTTTGATGCTGTTGGAGAACGAAAGGAAAACGAATTTTATCATTGTGTCTATGTATGTAATCAAGTGATTTTTTCTGAATTCACCGCCAAAAATATGAAATAGAACAAATTTAGAAATTATCGCAATGCTACGACATCCCTTTTTTAATACTCTCTGGTAACTAACTCTATAATATTTGTAATGATTTCTGCTCATCTTGCAGGACGGGACTTGGAGTACAATTCTCGGTTGTTTTACTGTTATTAGAGATTTCAAAGATGTTTGTTTTCATTCGTATTTTTCAATCATGGATGACCTACGAGATCGAGGTCCTCCAGATGCAAAGTATTATGAAATAAGGTTAGTTTTGGCTTTCATAATTTGAATATATATAGCTATCTTATTTTCATACTCTTTGTGGCTTTCAATAATTTTACAAGTCATGACACAGTGGTCATTTTGTAAGCAGATTTTGTGCAAATGTATCATCTGGTAGTGATGTGATTTTTAGTCCGAAAACTAAGCCTCACAAAGATATGAATCTAACCTAATTCTATACAGAAAATTCACCAAGAATTAAGCAAGAAACTTAGATTAATTAATCAAGAATCCACCTAATTAATTAACCTAGATGATTGTTTTAACTAAAACAAACAAAACAGCAAATTGGAATCCACCAATCAAGAATTTAAGTAATCCAACTGAAACAAAAGCAATAAGAAATATTATTATGAATGTATGACTAAACTTGTATATTATTCGAAGATTACAACCCTATATTTATAGACTCAATCAACTATCCTAATCCCACTTGAATTAGAATTCTAATCCCCTAACAAAAACCTACGGATTGCATAACTTAATCAAGTTTAGATAACTTTAATTTAGTTATTTAATCCTACTTAAACTCTAACTACTCTTAAGATAAAACTTGCCTATTTTATCCTAACTCAAGCTTGCACTCCAAGCTATTATTGACGCCTACTAGACTAAAAATAATTCCTAATCAACTTAGGAACTCACTTTGCTAAAAACAAATCCTAATCAACTTAGAAACTTGCTTAGCTAAAACTAGTCCTAATCAATCTAGGAACTTATTAAGCTAAAACAATTCCTAATGCAATTAGAAATCCTAAGTGCTTAAAACAAGAAAAACCCTTTCAAGTGAAAGGTAAAAACTTGTAAGCAAAAACCTAAGTAAAGACTCACAAAATAAAACTAAGGAAAAGAAATCATTCTTTTCATATCGCCGCCAGAACACCACTTCACGCGCCACCACTTGTGACACGCGCCACACCACCTTGTGGCTGGGCTCAGTCCGGTGCCGGAGGACAGGAGCGTGGGACCCATCTCGGCGCGTGGCCGCCTGTATCGTCGCCGGAAGTGAACTGCGCAACTTCTTCGTTCTTGGAAATCATGGTTCTTTCTTTCCAATTTAAGCTATTGAACCTTTCCTTGATCATTTCCTTGTTTGGGCAACCTATAATGGAGTTGTTTAGACCATCTAAAAGTACATTAGATTCTTCAAAAGAATTAGCTTCTTGATTCGCATCAGGTAGGTAGCTCAGCATGTGTTTTCCTTTACCATTATGCATATGGCTACATTATTTGATTTGTGCTTGTAGGCTTTATGCCTTTATGGCCATTTCATGTGCTTTATTTCTCTTACTACTTCTTGAGATACTATCATAAGAGGTGATGTTTAATATCTTGGATTGTTTTTGTTGTATTTCTTTTCTTTCAAGATTTTAAAACAATATTTGTAATAAATACAGAATACTTTATCTTCCTGGAGCAATTTTAGCTGGTGTCCTTGGTCTTTTGGTTGATATCCCAGTTATCACAATCATTGCCTTGTTCAAAAGCCCTTACATGCTTTTTAAGGGGTGGAAACGTTTGCTACACGACCTTATTGGACGTGAAGGTCCTTTCCTCGAAACAATATGTGTCCCCTTTGCTGGTCTTGCTATTCTTCTTTGGCCACTAGCTGTTGTTGGAGCATTGATGGGTTCGATGGTTTCCAGTGTCTTTCTAGGTGCTTATGCAGGGGTGATTGCTTATCAGGTTTATCTTTTGAAACCTCTTTCTCTCCAGTTTTAGTTATTATTTAGTGATTGTTTTTCAATGGCATTAAGTTAATTTTCATGTTGTTATCCTATCTTATTGGTTTTCCAATTTCTATGTTTTATAGTTTTGTGTATTTGGAAGCTTTTCTGCAACCAGGCTTAATATTGTAGAAAATAGCGAGTACTTATTGTTGAAAATAGACATCGCACGAATGAAATTAGAGATCTTGTTTTCTGTAAGTAGAAATGGACCCTATTTCCCACAAGCCTCCACGTTAGTACCGCTGAACATTTACTTTTAATCAATGGTGCTATTAAAACTGTCTCGATTAATTTTTCTTAAGGCATTTTAATAATATATTGTTAGTATTGGTCGGAACCTTTGCCTTAGATTAATTTAGGGTCTTCGCTCTTAGGCCTTTTTTTTTAAGGAGGAAAACCTTCTCTGTGACTTGAGCCCAGCAGACCATTGAGAAATGAAAAAAAAAAATTGATCTTCATTTTTCTTAGACAGTGCCCTCAAGAAGAAATCATTCTTTCATGTGTTATCTTGCCAATATCTTAGACAGTGCTAATTTTTGGAAAATCATTCTTTCATGTGTTATCTTGTCAATATCTTAGACAGTGCCAATTTTTGGAAAATCAATGCATACAAGTATTGAAAATAGTATAGTGCACCCAGGCTCATGGTGCGCCCGTTAAAACTAAAAAAGGCGGAAAGAATATACTAGTGTTTGAAAAAGAACATACCTATGTTTGACAAAAAAACATGTTTGTGTTTGACAAAGAACATGACATTACAAAAAACATAAAATCTTTACAAAAAGAACATGATAATATATTAAAGAACATGTTCTTTTGCATGGTTACTCGGGTGGTTGAATGTGTTTGAAAAAGAACCCTATGTTTGAAAAAAGAACATGTTTGTGTTTGACAAAGAATATGTTTGTATTTGACGAAGAACATTAAGTCTTTACAAAAAGAATATGATAATACATTAAATAACATGTTCTTTTTCATGGTTACTCTAGTGGTTAAATTTAACATTTATTTATTTATTTATTTATTTATTTATGTTTCCGGGTGCACCAACCACGCATTATACAAGTATAATGTTTTATTGAGTCAATGAAGCAAATTGACTTTTGAATTGGTACAGGTACTTTCCCCTGTTAAGATCTACTTTCTTTTCTTAAGATATTAACAGACTGTTCCATTGATCTTCTTTTTCCACCATAATATGTGATCTAGTCACAATTTCCTTGACAAATCTTACCTTCCACATCCAAGCCGACAATATTTTCCATAGATCAACGCTGTGAGCAGTAATTTGAAGCTACTCTCAAATTGCCGTTACCTGAAAGATCTTAATATTCCTGGCCTCATTAGAGGAATAAAGTAACAACAATTAATAGCGTAATCAATATACACTCAATTCAGTCTCATTACCTACTGTTGTTGAAGGCAGCACAATTGCCAATTGCAGCTCAAGATAAAATATTTATGATGCAAAATTAAATTCAAAATTTAACTGAATATCTGTTTTATTCTTGAAAAATGGAACTAAATCTCAGAAAGGAAAGTTTACATGAATTGACAAATAAAACAAGCCTTTCTTTAGTTTCTTATTTTGCAGCTTTAATGACGTGCGAAGTTCAAGAACCTTCTAGGCACAGATATCTTAAAGATAGAGAGATAAAGCTGAGTTCACTTAGAGTAAAAGATAGAAACAGAGAGAAATTTGTCACCCTTATCGTTGACCTCAGCTTAGACTTTTCTTACCTTTTTCAATTATTCTAGTACAGAGTTTTTGATCAAAGAACAAGCATCTATATTAATTTTTAATAAAGTTAAGAATAAAATCTAATCCGCCTTACGAAAACGGAGGCTTATTTCCAAATATGCTTTTGGAACTTTTTGTCTGGAAACTGGATTTATATTTTCTATTCGTCTGATAGGAGCTGAAATTATCACAGAATGAACTCTGCCAAAAGTTATTTTTTGTCGTAAGATGGCATTGACACACCTTTTCATTTCTTAATATTGTTCCAAGTGTGTATTGTGTAATTTTTTTCTTGCTTCTAGTTAACTGTCTTTTTTATTTTATTTTTTTTCCTGTCAAAACTGTAATTCGTTATATGAAAAAGTGTGGTATAGATGAATTCATCCTAGCAACTTAAGTAATGTCAACGTGTAAGAAAAGCTTTGAAGTCTTGGTGGACTTTTTTTTTTTTTTTTTTTTTGACAGGAAGTCTTGGTGGACTTCGTTATACCACACTAAGCCATTTAAGGATGGATTGATTTCTCACTTCTCAAGGTCGTATTGTAATAAGCCAGGCTGTTTCCTTGGATTTCTGTACCAGTTGACACCATGCCACAGTTTACCCTTTTTCATTTGTTGAGGCAATTGATCTTACAATTCATAGTTTGGGAATAGTAGATAAGAAGTTTGGGATGAACTTGTATCATTTTTTGTCACTAACTCATTGATTTTCTGAGGTGTTCTATCTTCTCAATTGCAGGAGTCTTCTCTCATGATGGGGCTTCGCTATATTGTGGCTTCCCTGGCCATTTATGACGAGTACAGCAATGATGTCCTTGACATGTCTGAGGGAACTTGCTTTCCAGGGTAATTAAATAAAGCTAACCTTAAGGATCATTTATGTACATGCAATATATTTACAACAACATTTAAGCCTTACTCATAGTGATGCAAGTTCATGCAAAACATTGATATATATAACTCAATTTTCCCATAATCAGGCTCTCTTATCGGAAGAAAGATCCATCAATACAGACTCAATCCCGTACACCATCTTTTTCAAGGCCCAATTCTTTCCAGAAGATGCCCTCTCATAATGGTTCTTTTAAGCGTCCTACGGTCGACTTAAAGCCAATTGAGGTACATTATTTTGATGAATCTTTGCAATGACTTTGTAATGTAGCTAGCCTCAGTTTATAAAATCCTTATAATTTGCCTACAACACATGTAGTTACTAGATGGCTTGTTTAAAGAGTGCCATCGCCATGGTGAAGTGCTGGTTTCTGAAGGGATAATTTCCATGAAGGACATTGAAGATGCAAAATCCGGCAAAGATAACCAGGGTGTTTTTATCATTGGTTTACCTGCGTATTGCATCTTACAAATGCTTATACAGTCGGCAAAAGTTAATTCACCTGGTTTGCTGCTAAGTAAGTCATGCTTTTGCTTGTGTTCTCAATTTCTCATATACTTTCAGAAAACCTGAACTTAGGAACAAACTGTATTTATATGTTTGGTTTTGGTTGTGCAGGTGATAACACTGAAATAACTAGCACTAATAGACCAAAAGATACGTTCTTTGATTGGTTCCTCAACCCACTTTTGATCATGAAAGAACAGATTAAAGCAGAAAATCTTTCACCAGCATTGGAAGATTATCTTGGTAAATTGGTTTTACTAAGCGGATATCCTGAGAGACTTCGAAGTTTTTGCACTGTAAACATCTCTGAAAATGAAGTCAAAATAGCAGAACTTGAGGCATTGGCTAGAAGGTATTTGCTTGAGATATTCACTCTTTGATTATATGCTCTTGCCATTCACTTAAGCATTTCTGTCTTAATGATATTTAAATCAATTCTGGACCTCTAATAATAATTAGTCATGGGTCAAGTAAATAGAGATATTGTGGAGATACACTCCTTTTTCTCATTATGCATGTCATGTACTCGTATATCATTTTTGAATTGCTTAAGTTTTTTCTTAGCATCCGTAACTTTTTCACGACAACGACGTGTCATATACTTTTTAAATTTATCTTAGTATATACTTTTATTATTTTATCCCATTAGTGTTTTATGAAATGTATTGATTTCTTTGCTAAAGTTGTCTCAAACCTCTATGGTTTTTATTCTAAACGTTTTTACCACCTCTTTAAACTTTCTTAAATTCTATTTTTGTTCTCTTTTAAAACTCCTTTTGGTTTACTTGGATACTCTTTTTTCTCACTTTACTCACCTTTTTAAAAACTCTTTCAACTAAATATCTTGTTATGTCCCCTTTTTAGATCGTACGGTTCCTTATGACCATTCATGTTAGCTGATCCCAATCATTTTGGGACTAAAGTTTTGTTGTTTTTGTATCCTTAACTTTTTCTATTTACACTATTGAAGGCTTCGAGGAATCACAAAATCAATATCAAGATATCCTACTTTCAGGCGCCGTTTTGAAACTCTTACCAAATCTTTATTGGACAATATGGCAAAAAAGAGTGGCAGAAACCATGCAAGCAATGGAACTGGATCAGCTCCAAGGACACGAAGTAGCATTGTTCGATACCTAAGTGAAAGATCATTTAAACGTAGTAAAAGTGATAGCAATTCTGATATTGATTTCCATAATCCCATTGAGAAGGATGTGGAGATACAACGATGATCAAATTGTGTGAGTTCGTTTGTACAGAATTGTTGTATTGTATATGCAATTTTAACTCAGATTTCAGAGGTCTTTGATCTTTATTTTAACGCGTTGATAATCTTAGTAAAGTTGTATAATTTAACAATCATGATACTCTTTACTCACTTCTTCCTTGCATATATGATTTAGTTTTGAAATTTTCATCTATAACCAGTTTCAACAATAAAGAAAAAAGTATATTAAAATCCTATGAACAACGAATGCACACTGTAATCTAGATAAAGGTTATTATGAAATGAATTATTTTAATCAAATCTTATCTGCTTAAATTTTGTGTTATATGGTTAATTTTGTTTTGAAGCTTGTGTAGTTTGGTTTTGAAGCTTTGTGTATTTCTGCCTTGAAGGTTGTGTTAATTTGTTTTATTGATATACTGTGTTATTTTGTCGAATTTTGGTGAAATTTGTTTTGTATCTTTTGTGACTTTTGGTGAAATTTGTTTTGTATCTTTTGTGAATTTTGTATTGTATCTGTTGTTACTTGGTACTTCGTAATATATTTTGAAACTTGTGTTATATTGTGATTAATTGAAAATTCTACAATGTCATTCTTTAAAAAAGGCACCACAATTTGTTGATGTGGCAAAATTTGATTGGCCCATTAAGTATTTTTTTTTATTTTATTTTTAATGTCCATAATATATTTAAATTGTGTTGTTTTTATATATTCTTTTTAATACATGTATTTTTTTTAAGAAATACATAATTATAAATTAATTTTCGAAGTTATAATTATAATTAAAAACCCCAATACTAAAATTGTTCATCATTGTTCATCAATGTTCTTCATTCATGTCATAGATTAACCACCCATTCCCAAAAGCATTGTCAATTGTTGACAAATTTTCAAATCCGCCATAAATCGGGATTAAAATTCGTATATCAATTGTGTTTTTGCGTTCCGTTTTTTGTAGTTTTTGATTTTAGGTTTTTGTTCATTAAAAAAATCTCATTTACAATCTCATTTTTAAGCATTTGTTAAGGACGAATCACATAGGTGTTTTGCAATGTCGCGGTGGCCGGCGACATGGTCATTTAGGTTGAATGATGGGAGTTCTTCCGACTATATAATCGGAGAAGACAACCTTTCGATTTTTTTCTTTTCGAGCCCCTTCTGTTTGATCCATAAAATATAATGATTTGTTCGCGAACTTGTTTGTGGCTTAGGTAATGACCTAAACTATTTTTGGTTATTACATAAGGAAAACAGTGTTTTCTATAATCTGTTTGTAACTAAAACTGAATTTTTTAGGTAATGGCCTAAATAAATATAGGAAATTACCTAGCCACAAACAGATTACAAAAATCGCAGATCTCGATTTTGGATCAAACAGGTCTGCGAAAAAAAAAATTCGAACTCTAAATCACATAGCACACCCTTGTTATTAGGGATGCCAATGGGGCGGGGCGGGGCAGGGCGGATGTTCGTTTTCCCATCCCCATCCCCACCTAAAATTTTCATCCTCATCCCCGCGGCGGGTCTAAAATTCATCCCCATTCCCGCCTCGACGGGTACAATTCCAAAACCATCCCCACCCCAACCCCCACTTGGATATCCACCCCCACCTAATCCCCACCTAAGACCAGCCTAATCCGCCTCCCAAATACACAATCCTTCATAATTAATAAAGATTGCAAAAAGAAAAAAATTATTGTTATATTACACATTTTTTTGGTTTATAATATAAGTGTATTACAAAGTATTATATTTACTATTTTATTTTACATAATTTTTTTTTATAAAACAGTATAAAAGTATATAATTTTGTTTTTAAAAATATATGGATGTGGGGATAGGGCGGGTACGAAGTGGGGTAGGTGGGGATGGGGCGGGTACGAAGCGGGGCGGGTGGGGCGGGGCGGGGATGGGGAGGGTACAACCTAAAATCCACCCCGCCCCATCACCCATGGCGGGTATGGTTTTTATCCCCATCCCCGCCCCACCACCCGCCAAACCAAGATCCATCCCCGCCCCGTTGGGGCGGGGATGGGGCGGGTCTCCTATTTGACCCGCCCCACTGACATCCCTACTTGTTATCCATTGATCGTTAAAAAAATGAAAGATATATGTTTTAGATCATCATAATACACGCTCCTAAGGCTAATCTCATCCTCAAAACCATCAAACAACTTGATTTTTACATAAATCAAAATTATCAATCGAACATAATACGAAATATGTATACAAATCATGGAAGCATATTCGAAACCCAATAAATCCGATCTTTGGACGGAATTTTGGTCAGAGTTCCAAATAGATTATACAAGATTTTGGGGGTGGTTAATTAAGATTATTAATGAAGAACAATGATGAATTTTTTAGTTTCTAAATTTAATTATAATTTAATTTCCGAAAATGATTTTAAAAAGATAAAAATAGATTTTAAAAAACTATAATTATGTATTCTTTAATAAAATACATGTATTTACAATTATACATACATGCATGTATTGTACATTTGGGCTTTTAAAAATAAATGAAAAATTGACCAATTATAACATGACATATCATCATGTTATGGTGTCATTTTTTGAAAGATGACACAGTAGACCTCTGATTAATGTTTTGTGATCTTATTTCAAACTTTGTGTAAATTTGTATTGAAATTGATGTAATTTTATGCAATTTCTAGTGCTATTTTGTTATCAATGTCATTTAAATCAAATTGTATGTTATTTTATTTAGTTATGGAGTGTTATATTGAACTTTTAAATGAATTCATTTAGAGAGATTTTTGCTTGTTTGTAGTAATTGAAGGATGATTTGAAGAATTTTCACAAATTGATTGAAGAAATGTAGTGAAAATGTGGTAATTGATGTTTTATGGAGGTTATTGGAGGAAAACATTCAAAGAGAAAAGTAGAGATTGAATGTATAGAGAAAATTGAAATTATGTGTTTGAATTATATAGGCTATCTTTTTTTTTTTTTTAAATGTCAATTCTACGTCTAAGTTGACGTGATTCATTGTATTTGTTTCTTTTTTATATTTAATACACGCATTTTATTGTTTGTATGTTACGTATGCCAAAAGTACCAAGAGTATGGTACTCTAGGAATACCTAATATTATTGATTGTATGAACATATCAATGAAATTCAAATACTTAAACTTGGGTATATTCTCACAAAACTCTATAGTAGATGTCGCATACTGCTATGTACCACTAAAGCAACGTACTGCAATGTACCACTAATAAAGTTAATTAAATATATTATTTATTTTTTGTACTTTTTAAACATTGTTAAACTTTAGCTAAGATGTTGTATTGTTTATTGAATTTATTAGATTGTTCGATCGACCTTGGCTAAATATCATCATACTCGGACACTATACATGTATTCTTTTGTCATTGATGACATTTATGTAATTTTGCAGCTTTAAAAACTTTTTTTTTTTTTGAATGAATAAGCAACTTTAAAAAGTTTTGTTTACTATTAAAGCAATTTCAAATATACTGTTTTTTGAATTATTTCATTTATTTTTTAAAAAAAATTCATCAATTATTTAAAATTAAAATTTAAAGCCAATTTATAACTTTATAAGTTCAAAATTACAATAATTTTATGCAACCACTATAACAAGATTAGTCATGTTTTTATTGAATTTCATGAAAGCTTAATAACCATAACCTTTAAGTATAATGACCATTAATTCTATGTATATTTATAGTTGAGATTCAATGAGAAGGTTGAGACGGATTAATATATATAGTGTTTGGGGTAAAATTACCCTATGCTACGTGGCCCAATAGCATGCTGACACGTGTCAGCCTCAGAGAGACCCAATGGGATCCAATCCACTCCTGACACGTGGCACCATAACCCTAATAGGGGAACTGATCCCCTTTCACTATAAATAGAGGAAAACCCTCATTTATTATAGATTCATAAATGAAAACACAAAAAACCGAGCAATATTAATTGCAGAATTCTCTCTGAGGGAAAATCCATTTACATCCGCACATTTATACATCCGGAAACGTTCTAACTTGATCGTCAGAGGCGGAACTCCACCCAACCGGAGTTTCGTGGTAATTTTGAAGTACAAATTACTAATTTTTACTTTATTTTATGCTATAAAAGATCTGTTCAGGGCAAAGGAAGGCCATCCGACAAGTTCAGTCGGATGGGTCAAAAAAGACTTACTCTAACGCCCGGATGTTCATCCAGGAGAAGTGAAGTCAGCAAATGTCTGAGTCAGCCTAAACGTCGACTTACCTAGACAGTTTCCGTAATACTTCACCGAAGTATTCGGAGACAAACCGAGAGAGTCAGTCACGCGGCATGTCCGCACGTAACTGGCCCTCAGATTATCTAGCCGGCTCCGTATGTGCCCCAACAGCCATACATGCCGTATGGATCACCATACATGCAGCTGGCCCTTTTTGGGGGTCCGGCGGCACAGCAAGTCCAGCCCATGGACTGGCAGCTCCGGCTGTTAAACCTTGGGGAACAACCGTCGGCGTTCTCCAAGGAGATAACCAAGGCGGCCAGCCGACCAAGGTTAAAAATGTGTTGGTCGGTACCTATGACGGTACCACCAACCCGAAGGACCATCTAATGGCTTACACCAACCTCATGTACTTTCAGGGGTTGGATGACGTCGCCTGGTGCCGATGCTTTCCGGCAACATTGAAGGGCATAGCCTAACGATGGTTTGGCAATCTGCCAGCCGGATGCATCAACAACTTCAAGATGCTTGCATACCTGTTTGCGTCTAACTTCTCCATGAACATCCCTGCTAAAAAGACAAGTCTCGATTTAGGGGCTATTCAGCAGGGAGACAAGAAGGGACTAAGGTCCTATGTCAGGCGGTTCAACCTGATGAGAATTCAGATCCAAGGGCTGTCTGACGAAGTTGCCTATACAGAGTTCTTCAAGGGTTTGAAGGACGGGTCGACCTTTAAGTTCGACTTGGTCAGAAAGAGGGTTGCTACCCTTCAAGAGGCATTGATGGAAGCCGAAGCCTACATACAGGCGAAGGAGCTCTGCGCCATCAAGCACTCGTCGAAACCTAAAAGGTCCTACAGGAAGGAGAGTCGGTCTGCTCAGCCAGCCAAAAAAGAAGAGAGCAAGAAAAGAAAAGAAATCTGGGCGGCGGACCGTTCTGGTCAGCCGTCCCAGAAGAAAAAGAGAGAGTTAAAGTCGTACGTCCCCAAGTACGAGTTCAACAAGAACTGCTCCTCCATCCTCATGGAGATCAAAGAACAGTTAACCCTTGAAAAACTGGCAGCAATGAAGAGTCCCATCAACAGCCGGGACAAGAGCAAGTACTGTCAATTCCATGAGGATATCGGCCATGACCACTACTACATTTTCGATCAAATACAACGCCAAAAAATGAGCTATTGCAACGCCTTATCCAAATGCCGTGGCAAAGATAGCCTATTGCAACGGTATTTTTATTGCCGTTGCAATAGAGTAGGCTATTGCCACGGAGTTAAAACTAATGCTCTTAGAGGTAGAGCTATTGCCACGGCTCTAAAGAACCGTTGCAATAGCCTAGATATTTTAACAAAAATGAAAGCTAATGCAACGGTAGTGTTGTATCATGAAAATTTTAGCTAGGTTGAAGCGCGCATTGTTCCCTCTAATTTTTTCACCAAAATTTTGAACAAACATGTTTTTACTTTTCTCACCCATTTTCTCCACTCATTCTCGCTGTACCCATTCTCACCCTATTTCTCCATTTCCTCAATATCCCCCAATCCTCCATTTTCTCAATTTCCCCCAATTCTCTAGTTTCCCCATCATCATCTCACATAAATAAGCAAGGTAAAACAAAAATTCTGAGGCAGATTTTGAGGTGAAAATCACGAAAAAATTCATTCAAAAATTTGATTTTTTTCGATTTCTAGGGTTATGATTTGTAACTGTTGGCGGTGGTGGAGAGCAACGATGGTGAGTTTTGATTTGTAATTGATGGCGGTGGTGGAGAGTTGCTGAGCTAACGTCGCTCAAACTCCAGCTTCGTGCCCTGATCTTTGAGTAAGCCTTCTATCTTTATCTCTCTTTTTATCTCTTTCTCGCTACTTTCTCTCCCCTTTCAATTATTGTTCCAATTTCAACAATTATACACTTAAAAAGTTTCAATCAATTGACAATTTAATGTTAATCAGGAACATCATCATCGTCCGTGGTAGTTGGTGAGAGTGATTTGCTAATTGTTGGGCTTGGTGTTCTTGGTCGCTTGGTAGCTCAACAATGGAGTCAGGTATAATTGCTATTTCTATTGCATTTCTACCTCAATTTCTTTCGTTTGTAAGACATTTAATTCCTCGAGAACTTTCAGGTTAATTTCTTTCGTTTGGGATTCTCGCCTTTATGTTCTTGCCAGGTTCCTTCTTTTATCTTTAATTTCTGATTTTTAGTAGATTTTGTTATAAATTTTTAATCATATTGTTAGTATTTGGTTTGATTATTGGAAAATTAGGTGATTTTTAACTTGCAAATAAGTGTGCTTTTGGTTGTTTTGTTGGTTATGGTAATGCGAATGTTATGGTATAGGTAATGACAGTAGATTACTATAGTTGGTGTTATAATGTCTAGTAATTGGTGCTTATAGACGATTCATGTTGGAATTGGTTAAGGACATTGCGTTTCTTTTGGGCGCGATAGAGCAAAATAGTATATTGATACTTTGGAAATGAGCATGGTTACTACTTATTGGTATATTACAATTTGGAAAAGCTGAACTATGTGTTTGGGGAATGGGGTGCAATGGGATTGGGGTCTTGATAGAAATTCTGTATGAGAACATGACACTTGAAGATGAAAATGATTTAATTCATTATGATTCTGGCTAAGCCTTGTCGAATAAAAAAGTGTATTTACTGTAATTTTATTTAAGGGACGGTATAGGATAAAAGTACAAGGTTGATTAAAAATTACTGAAAATAAGTCGAATTTTAGAACAAAGTTGAACACAGTTCTTTGTTAGCATCTGAGAAGAGAGAGAAAGATGAATGCTCCTGATCGATACGAGAGATTCGTCGTTCCTGAAGGCGTCAAGAAGTAATTATCTCAATCTTTATCTTTTCCCACTTTGTTTTTTCAGTAATAATCACAATTTATTTATTTGTTATTAATTTGATAATTGTTGTTTTTTGTTTTAGGGTTTTGAATGCCTCTTTTACCATTGAGAGAGAAGACCACACCATTGGCAACATCCTCCGCATGTAATTAATTATTTTCCCAATTTCTAATTTCATAAACACTAATTTGATCAATTTTGCTGATTGATTTTTTTGACATGGTATAGGCAATTGCACAGAGACCCAAATGTCCTTTTTGCCGGCTACAAGCTTCCACACCCTCTTCAGTACAAAATTCTTGTTAGGGTTAGTTTTTTCTACTAGTATTACCGATTTATTATTTATTTTTTCTTCTTGGAGCTTAAATTTGAAGCTAATGTGGATAATTTACTTGTTTTATGTTGTTATTATTAAGTTATTTAGCTCCTGTAGTATATTTTAGCGAATGTTTTCAGCTTAATGATTTATGTGTAATGTTAGAGCCGAAATAAAGATGAGATATTTAATTCAAGGAAAATTATGAGCTCATGTACAATATGTGGATCTTAACCCCCAAGGTTGTCAAAGAGCGGAACTTGGGTTTGGCCGAGAGAATTATAGCAGTGGGAGTATTAGAGGTGCCCCATAAGATAATGACATTGGAGAATGCGGTTATTTTTTAATTATTGAGTTTATCGACAAGGCTTAATTCATTATGATTTAATTCATTATGATTCATTATGATTCAAACTACAGCTTACCTCTTAATGTTGCCTTGATAACCTTTCAGGTACTTGTTAATTCATTATGATTCTGGCTAACCAACATCTTGTTTTGAAAATGATTCTCAAAAGCAGCTCCTAGGGTCTCTAAGGAAGTACGTGTGTTTTCAAGCTTGCCTTTCAAGACTTGTCTAACTGATGAATGCTCAACTTTGCAGGAATTGGAAGATAAATATGTACTACTCCGCTTAGCACATCTCTATGAGGTAAAACCTCTGTTTGCCTTTGCCCTTAATTCTTCATTTACTTTCATTTGAATCAGACCGAGTTTTTTTTTTTTTAGCTCTCTGCCTTGCTGCCATCTCCTATAATATCTCTGAACATAAGTATCTCAAGTTTGCATACTGAGGCCTGCTAGTGTGGCCCTTATCTAAAGAGTTGCATGTATAGTAGTTATCCTACTCAATTCTAATTAAGGTTTTTTTTTTTTTTTTTTTTTTTTTTTTTTTTTTTTTTTTTCGGTTTATTCTCCTGTTTTATTATCTATATATAAAAAGAGCATTAGGATATTTGATTTTGTATACATGGATAACTTTAATTTTAATTGATTTTGGCAAGCTTAAATTGACAAATGTACATAATGAAGCTTGGAAGACAATGACAAGATATATAAACAATAAAAACAATCTCAAATCAATGTCAAAATGTGACTTCTTTAAGCTTTTGTGCTACTGCAATGTTGGGATGTTTATGTTGGTTGTTATGTTGCTTTTGATTACTATAGGACATCTAGTGCTCTAAATTTGTCTTTATTTTGATCCAAACACCCAATTTTGTTGTTAAAAAATGGTTACAGGGAGAGTACACTTAGTTGCTGTTCTTCTGAAGATATACCATTCTTGAATGTTTGTAAAATAGGGGAGAGTAGACTTAGCCTGTTTTCTTTGCTGGCCTGGTTTTCTGTCTGTTTCTTCTCTGGTGGTTTCTGTGACAGCTTCTTGTATGATGGTGGCTTTTTGTGTGGTGTTTTGTGTGCTAATGCAGGCTTCCTTGCTTGTTTTTGCTGAAGTTGGAAGCCTTCAAATGGCTGTGTACAGTGCTGGGGCTGTGTTTTGGTACTTCTGTGCAGCTGGGTGTGCCTGTCTCTGTTCTTGATTCTGCTTGCTAGCTGTTTTTGTCTCTGTCAGGGCGTGCAGGGAGCTTCTGCCCTGCTGCTGTGTTCTGTGTTTCCTGGGTCTGTAGTGCTGTGCATTTGTTGTGCTGTGAATTGGAGTTGCTGCGTTCTTGTGTTGCCTAGTCCTGCTTTCTAGTTTGCTGAGATGATGTTGCAGGCTGTGTTATGGGGTGTGCTTGTGCTCTGTGTTTCTGTAGAGGCTGGCTGCTCCTGTTTCTTGTTCAGCTGGCTGCTGTTATTCCTGTCAGGGCCTGTAGGGAGCTGTGTGCTCCTTTGCTGTTTCTTTTTGTTAGCTTTGATCTTTAGATTGGCTTTTTTTTGTTCGTGGTGTTTTTGTTTTTGTTTGTCGTGTTTTGTTTTAGTGTTTGGTTGTTTTTGTCTGTGTTGGTCCTCGTTTTCAGTACCCTTCCTAGAAGGTGCCTAGTTTCCTAAGTCCAGTGTGTTTTTCTTCCCTCTCGGTTTTTTAGGTTCCTTTTGATTGAAGGTGGCCTTTTTACAGTTTGGGTTAGGTTTGGAGGTTGGATGCCTGTAGGGCTTGTGTAGTTTTGGAGGGTTCAGTTTTGTTTTTTGTAAAACTGTAACTCTTATTCCTTGGTAATAAATTTTCTTATTTACCAAAAAAAAAGGGGAAATTGATGTGAAAGGGAGGGGGGAAATTTTTACTCGTTTTATGGATAGCTGGGTGTCCTGGTTTATTGTTTTTTAGATGTGTTTGGTGTGTGCCCTCCTTATTTGGCTTATGGTTGCTGTTGGTTGCCGCTTCTGGTTTGGTTTCATTGTTGGATCTGATAGTGGCAGATCAGCAGCTCTAGTTCAGGGTTCTACCTGCTTGCAGCCTGTTTTGTGCCTGTTGTGTTTTTGTTTGGTTTTGGGTTGGCTGCTGCCTGTATTGGCTTCAGGGTGCTGCTGTTGTGGCCTGCGGTCTAATATGAGTATTGTTGTATGGCTAAATTCTCCGTGCGTTTTAAACTTTTCTCATGTTGATTGTGGCCTTGATCTAGTATAATTTATAATTTAGTTCTATTATATTTCTATTACTTTATTCTATTTTACGTGTAGGTGCATGGGGAGCTAAATGGAGCTGAAGTATAGTAATTAGCTAGTCATTTAACAAATGGTGCATATACGTTGGCGACTCTTATTCAAGCTCAACTTTGTGAAGATTTGGAAATTCTGGCTTATATATATGTTGAAAATTTGTATTTTGGAGGATTAAATTAATTATATAACTTTTATTTATTATTAGTAGGGTGTCATACAAAAAACAAGCAACTAATATTTTATAATGTACGTATTTAGCATTATTATTATTCTATATAAATTTAATGATATTTTGTTTCTTAGTATATTTAGATTTGTACTAACTATTTATACATATATTATATTACCGTACAATTCAAAATAAAAAAGATCAAATGATCAATCCGTTGCAGTAGATACGTACTCCATATATCATTTGTATTAATTAGCTTCAGTCGTTGCAATAGGTGTCAATTTCATCACAATTAGTAGTAAGTAATCTATTGCAACGGATAATTTATACCGTGGCATTAGGTGTAGAGCTATTGCAACGGATTATAGCTGCCTTGGTATTAGGTGTTGTATACCGTTGCAATAGACCTACTGCAACGCCAACAAATGCCACGGTACATGGCCGTTGCATTAGGCCTAATGCCACGGAATTTGACGCCTAATGCAACGGATTTGGGGGTTGCAATAGGTCAAAAATGTAGTAGTGGACACCAATGGCTGCTATAGCCTCAGGCGGCTAGTGGACCGTCTGGCTGATGAGGGGGCTTTAAAGTCCTATCTGGTGAAGTCCAAGGGTAACCACAAGACAAACAATGGACAACCATCCAAGAAGCCGGCTGTGAGCTCTAACACTGATGAAGAGCAAATCTTTACCATAGCAGGCAGCTTTGTGGGAGGTGGTCCTACTATCCGGGGTACCAAGGACAACATCCGGAAGCTGGTCAACTCAGTGGATGAGGGCTAGGCATCGAAAGACACCTTCCCAGAGGTCCTCATCTTTGAGAAGGATCAAGGCAAGGTCAGACGGCCTCACAATGACCCTATAGTCATCGAATGCAAAGTTTCCAACCAACGAGTAGGCCGGATTCTTATTGATACCGGGAGCTCGTCTGACCTTATCAGCTATCAGTGCTTGGCAAAGCTCAAGTACAAGCCTAGCAGCATGCACAAGGCCTCTCACCCCTTAGTCGGCTTTGGGGGAGGGGTAGTGCATCCGGTGGGGAGGATTGACCTACCCATCCAGCTAGGAGAGAAGGGGGAAGGACGACACATGGTTGTCGAGTTCTTGGTGGTTGAGGAATTAACCGCATACAATCTGATTCTGGGCCGTCCAACCCTCAACGAGTCCAAGGCAGGCATCATTCCATCCCTCATGCTAATCAAATTTGAAAGGGATGACGGGTTAGTGGGTTCCCTAAACGGGGATTAGAAGATTGCTAGGGAGTGTTATCTCTCAGACGTCAAGCCTACTGTGGCCGCAGCCAGCCAAGGCGTGGAACCCATCGACCTTGATGACTTCAAGGAAGCCGCGCCTGCTCCCAAAGCAGCCGACAAAAAGAGGAAGGCGGGCAACCTTTTGGCCTTAAAAAAAGAGAAGCAATAGCAATCACTAATCGAGGAACGATCAGATGATCTCCGTCCCCAGCCGGCTGGTGAAAATATTGATATTGTTCTAGATGACAGCCGTCCGGAGAGAACCGTTAAAGTGGGGACGGTTGCTTTTACAAAGTTGGGTGCAGACTTGCACCAACTGCTGAAAGAATTCAAAGACATCTTTGCCTTTGAAGTGGAAGAAATGCCAGGCGTCAGCCCGGATCTTGCTGTCCACAAACTTGCCGTGGATCCAAAGAAGAAGCCGGTTAGGCAAAAGAAAAGTATCCACGACGAGGAAAGATCTCAGGCGGCAGCCGTCGAGGTCAAGAAGCTGCTGGATGCTGGGTTCATTCGGTAATGCTACTACCCGGATTGGGTAGCCAAAGTTGTCCTTGTGAAAAAGCCAAATGGTACCTGGCGGATGTCTGTTGATTACACAGATCTGAACAAGGCATGCCCGAAGGATAGCTCCACTTCCAAAGATCGATAGTCTGGTCGACTCTATTAGGTTTACAGTGAACTTCAAACTAGAAATCACTTATAATATCAAGAAATAATTAATAAAATGTATGGGAAACAAAACCTAAATATATAATTACAAAACAAAGTAATGTAATTAAACAAACACAACAATGGTGTTCCAATCAAGTATTATAATCTAAGAAATTACAGAAATTTGAAAATAAAACACTAGTGAGAAGATTAATTACACTTGCCTAAACTCGAAGCCGAAGAACCACACATGAACATGAGAATCAAATTGCCCCTTGAGACTTCGATCTTGATACACTGTCAAAGGCTTATGAATACTTTCCTAAAGGGATTAAATTCCCTCACACGGTGCTAGGGTTAATCCGGAAATTCCCTTTAAGATACAATTGACAGCTCTTTCCGTTCTTAGCACAAAGAATCGAAAACCGATGGATGATTAACAAGGAAGGCTAAAATCAAGAAGCTTTCTCAAAATAGTTTGCAAGAAAATTTAGAGAAAATATGGAGAATTCTTGGAGAGAAGATCATAGAATAATGTTCAGTATGTCATGCTTTCGAAAAACTCATTCTATATAAAATAGAATCAACCGTCGCATAAAACCGGAAACCGGCAAGAGGCGCGGGCGCTGCTATAGTAGGAGCGGGCGCTCCTCTTCTGGAATCCCAACTTTCTGATTTTCCAGAAAGTTGATGCGATTTTGTCGCGATTTAGGCGCGGGCGCGCCACCTGGAGGAGCGGGCGCTCCTCCAAAAAGAATTGCCAGATTTCCAGAAACTCTTTGCGGTTTATGCGCGGTTTTGTCGCGGGTCGCGCCTAGCTGGAGCGAGCGCGATTTCGTAGAGCGAACGCTCCACTCCGACAATCCAAATTATCAACAATCCTCCCCCATTTAGAGTGTCTTCTTTATACATTCTCCAAAACTATTATTTAGCCACATCTTATGCATCAATGTTAATGTCCCTTCGGATTGAATTAACACCTAGTACAACACACTTAACGATGATCATATCCCATGATTTCCATATGGATTGAATCACACGGATATATCCAACCATTCGAAGGTGAAGTACACATAAGCTAAATCAAATCATTCATCACTTGACACTTTTAAACAACCATGTGTCCGTATCTTTCATAAGTTCATTAAAGTCTATATGTCCATCTAGACTTCTTGAAGCGGCTAAACTTCGAACTTATATAGGTAGGTTCTAATATACGTGAATGTGCCCTTGTGACAAGACACTTACATTTAGAGATTCTTAACTCTAAACCTTTGAGAACTTTTAATTGACGCTACCTAATACATCACAAGTACCATAGCAATATGGGTCATTAAATATTAAGTACCATACAACACACTTAACGATGATCATATCCCATGATTTCCATATGGATTGAATCACACGGATATATCCAACCATTCGAAGGTGAAGTACACATAAGCTAAATCAAATCATTCATCACTTGACACTTTTAAACAGCCATGTGTCCGTATCTTTCATAAGTTCATTAAAGTCTATATGTCCATCTAGACTTCTTGAAGCGGCTAAACTTCGAACTTATATAGGTAGGTTCTCATATACGTGAATGTGCCCTTGTGGCAAGACACTTACATTTAGAGATTCTTAACTCTAAACCTTTGAGAACTTTTAATTGACGCTACCTAATACATCACAAGTACCATAGCAATATGGGTCATTAAATATTAAGTACCATACAACACACTTAACGATGATCATATCCCATGATTTCCATATGGATTGAATCACACGGATATATCCAACCATTCGAAGGTGAAGTACACATAAGCTAAATCAAATCATTCATCACTTGACACTTTTAAACAGCCATGTGTCCGTATCTTTCATAAGTTCATTAAAGTCTATATGTCCATCTAGACTTCTTGAAGCGGCTAAACTTCGAACTTATATAGGTAGGTTCTCATATACGTGAATGTGCCCTTGTGGCAAGACACTTACATTTAGAGATTCTTAACTCTAAACCTTTGAGAACTTTTAATTGACGCTACCTAATACATCACAAGTACCATAGCAATATGGGTCATTAAATATTAAGTACCATACAACACACTTAACGATGATCATATCCCATGATTTCCATATGGATTGAATCACACGGATATATCCAACCATTCGAAGGTGAAGTACACATAAGCTAAATCAAATCATTCATCACTTGACACTTTTAAACAGCCATGTGTCCGTATCTTTCATAAGTTCATTAAAGTCTATATGTCCATCTAGACTTCTTGAAGCGGCTAAACTTCGAACTTATATAGGTAGGTTCTCATATACGTGAATGTGCCCTTGTGACAAGACACTTACATTTAGAGATTCTTAACTCTAAACCTTTGAGAACTTTTAATTGACGCTACCTAATACATCACAAGTACCATAGCAATATGGGTCATTAAATATTGCTAACAAACATAAAAAATGCGATTCAACCACATTGAATCTAAGACTTGATGTTTCTTCAAGCGTTAGATTGGGTTTCACAAATTTGTGTTTTTGGACATAAACCCATTCCATTTATAGCAAATATGATGGAATGTCTTGGCATTGCCTTTGTAAAGCAATCCGCCAAATTCATCTTTGTTGGAACATAGTCAAGACTTATGACCCCATCATTGATAAGCTCTTTCACTAGGCTATGCCTTAGTGAAATATGCCGAGACTTACCATTGTACACTTGACTATAAGCCTTTATCAAAGTCGAATTGGAATCACAATGGATTGCCACCGGTGGCATTGGCTTAGACAATAAAGGCAACTCTATCATGAGATTCCTCAACCACTCAGCTTCTTTACTAGCTGAAGCAAGAGCTATAAACTCAGCTGCCATAGTGGAATCCGCAATGCAAGTTTGTTTCTTGGAAGACCATGAAATGGTACCTCTCCCAAACATGAAAACCCAACCACTTACAGAAGAATCATCTTCTTTGTAAGTGATCCAACTTGCATCAGAATATCCTTCCAAAACCGAAGGAAATCCACTATAAGATAGACCATAGTCTAATGTACCCTAAGGTACCTCAAGACCCTCCTTATTGCAAACCAATGCTGTGCACCCGGGTTACTAGTAAATCTACTTAGTTTTCCCACAGCCAATGCAATATCCGGCCTTGTACTAGTCATGGCATACATCAAGGACCCAATTATCCTTGAATATTCCAATTGGGAAAC